CTCTGCGACCCTTGTCGCCACGCGACAGGATGACTCCCCTAGTACCGTCTGGATCTGGGACGTGCAGGCCGCCGAGCTTCGGGCGGTACTCCTATTTCACGGAAATGTGGCCAGTCTTTCCTGGCACCCACAGATACCGGAGACCCTGCAGATCAGATGCGAGGGCGAACAATACAATGGCCTGGTCTTCGTTTGGGATCCCCTATCGGAAGGGCCACGGTCTCTTGATTTTGCTCAGCACCTACCTGGAGGTAAGGCAGGTGGTAGCAAGTTGCGTGCCTTGTGGCTTGATCGTGGTGATCCGAACCCACCGACGGTTTTCTTTTCGGACGCGCATCATTACATGCTTGCATCTCTTGGCGATGCGGACCAAAGCCCGCCTCCGTGGGGCGACCACACGTCGTCTGGACTGGGCCTGCTAGCGGGCGGCGGTAGAGAGCGTGAAGAATCACCCCTCGACCTGGTCCCTGCTCCCGAGACAAGACCTGAGTTCCCGGACCTGGAAGAGGACGGCGATTACAGCGAGCTAGAGGATACGTTTGTTTACAAACGATAAGGACTCGGTAGATGTCTGCTCTGCACAATTTAGTCGGTCCATCGTCGACAATCTTCGAAAGCTGGCCAGAGCACCGCCGCGGCTGCGGACTCGGGAGTTTTCCCCGATTCTCCAAAGCAAGGCCCATCGTGAAAAAAATGCCTGGCTCCCCTCGGCTTCGGCTCACGAGTACATCGATCAGTGATGGGAGTGGTAGCCGACATATGCAAGTCTAGTCCCTTCAGGAATAGTCTAAGCACCAAAACAGCACCATTCGTGGACCTTGCGTCAATGGATCAAACGGAGGGTAAGTGAAGGTAGGACCCCACAGACAACTCGCGACTTTGTTGCTTATTCTTTGCCATTCCTTTTTGGGAACAGAGGCCCAAATCGAGTTTCAAGGTCTCCGCTTCGAGATTCCTCTGGACTTGTAGATCCATCAATACGATTGGTTGGCCTCTGAGCGATTGCCGACACGGACACCAGACCCGGCGAAAGCGCTCAGTTAACGAAGGCCTCATCGGTTTCTTTTGCTTTCCGTTCTTCCCCGAAATATGACAAGTCTCTGAATGCCACCAACCTCTGCACTCAATCCTACCAATATGCAGGAGCAAGCCCCAGACGCAGAGCTCGCTGGTTTGAGCGAACACCAGGATCTCTTCCTGACATAGCGCATTTCTGTCAGCTAGGCAAACATCGACGGGCATGCTTCGAAACGCGATGGGTTGGGAGCGCCCGCGGATGTTCACCTGGCCTAAACCAAGTTCTGATGTTGCCTCAGACATACTTTCAATAAGCCTTGAGCGCAGATGTGGTGGCGCACGTCTGACCACAATCCAAGACGGCGAGTTGAAATGGCTAGCGACATGTGGCGGCAAGGTTATAGAAACGCCAACTCCACACCTTTCCGCTTGATGTGCACTCAACCGTGCTACTGGTGCTATGTCTCCTCGAATCTGTCACAGTTCTGGATATTACGCTTGACTATCACCAACTGCATGTTATGCTCGCTGAGTGGCTCCCGACAGCCCTTGAGAACTCTGCGCGACCCGTGTTGGCACCGATATCCCGGGTCCTGTGTGCCGGATCCGCGACCGATGCCGACCCTGCTGATTGGAATGGATCAGGGACGGGCGAGAAGATTGATCTTACTAACTTTCTGTGGCTAACGAGCCCCTCCTTTGCGAGGTTCTTGGATGACAGGGCGCTTCATCTCGGGCCGGGTCAAAATCACAGCGGCGACTGACTTTTCCCGAAATATCTGGTGTCCAGTCGCCTCTATCATGCCGCTCAGTGCGTGCCGGGCTCGGGATCGACCGCCATTGCACAGCTTGCACAGCCACGATTACACTCGGGACTGGCCGTCTCAGCCCGATTCGGTTTTCTGTCTTGGAATTCGAGGACCCGGCTCAGAAAGAATTGTGACAGCTCATTTATGGCGGACAGCCACTCCCAAATCCCGGCTCTCACACTGTTTGGTATACCCCTGGCAATAGATGTGCTTCGAGTTTGAATCCTTTGTGGCAGAGTCAGCTGCCCAAGACGGGCAGTCTGCTTCCCGGAAAATGGCATTGTTTAACTAGTTGGCAGGCAGCTCCCAAGATTCCTATGCCAGTTCCCGTCTATAGCTTCTGCCAATTCAGAGACTGGATATGCCTGCCGGTGGCGACATTCGGCCATAGTTCCGCCAGAGGGTATTGACTCCCTCAACCAGGGACGGACAACCATCTATCATCTTCACTCCCTACGGGCAAGCACCTTTTATCACTTTTTGGACCGACCACAAGACGCAACAGTGCCTCCTTGACTTCAGAATTCCCAGAGTCGGAATCGCTTCCGGACCCATAAGCAGTTGGCAATTCCAGCCCTGGCGTTGATGGCTTGTTATCGCCTTCAATGCCCAACACCCCGTAAGGCTTTGCGGTATCAGAGCGCAGCACGTCGCGGCACGTCGCATGGGCGACATAGCAGTGCCGTGTCCTAGGCGTGTTATTGTGGTGTTGACCACAGTTTTTAGCACGCTCAAACTCTCACGCCGCCGTACAGTGACCGCACGACGACTCAGGATGCATCGTAACCAGCACCACAGCCGAAATCTGAAGCCTTTCACGGTAAGGCCGGGATCCGAGACAGGGTTGTACTACATTTTGGTTGCGAATGTACGTACTTGCAGCGCGTCCACTTCCGCTCGAGTATGACTGACTCGCCAGGTATAGCTTGCTCACCGGACAACATGGAGGGAGCTGAAGGCGTTTGCAGCCCAAGCCTGTGAGGTGGATCACGCTGAGGTCTACCCTCCCACCTCTGGGTTCGTCCGGGTGAAAGGACGAGCTAACTTTGAAAAGGCGCTCAGTGAGGTGGTTTCGACAGGCCTGAAGATGAACAATTTCTAATGTTTGAGACAGAATTTCTTGATGGCAACACGCTCGACTACCGCGCTCTCCAAGCGGATGGCCGGAACTTGAACCAGAGTACTGTCGTCAAGCTCTTGCCAACCGACTACCATGCAGCAAGGATTTTGCGGGGAGACGAAGGAAGAGTATTTGGTGAAACCGATTCCGCCGAGGCGCTTCCTCGCTGCGCAGGTGCACTGATGGGAAGCCCGTACTTGGATTTTCAGGAGCGGAACAGTCCGGCGTTCAACATAACAGATAGCCAGTGGAGTTATGTCACGTCGTCTTCGTACACTGCTAGCGGGGGGTATCAGCCAGCTTGTCACGCATCCCTCACGCCGTGCAGCTCTTCAGCATATCAGGCGGTAACGATCTCGAACCAAGCTTTCATTCCGCAAGCAACTATCGCGCCGCCACTCACGTTGTACCAGACTGTACCAAGTGCAACATCCACCACAGCTCACACGACCCATTACCAGTACAACGACCCTGCGATGTACTACCCCGCCGGAGCCGCCTTCGATAACGGTGAATTAGGCTACGCCGGCTTTATTTATTCGGGCGCGAGCAGCAACAGCCACGCATATACGATGGGTTACGACTGGCCGCCAGATGCAATTGGCTCGCCACCGACGCAGCCTGAAAATATGCCGAACGACAACAGCAGCAACAACAACAGCAGCAGCACCAACAGCCACAATGATGGGCGGCTGGCCGTCGTTTTGGAGAAGCGCAAGATCCTCATACGCGATTTACAACGGGACGGGCTCTCGGCGGCCGTGATCACGAACCTTTTAATCCAGCATGCCGGGATCGGTGAGGTCCCGGGCCAGATTGAGAGGATTGAAATCCGGGTCAACCGGGACGGTAGGGCGCGGGGCACCGCGTACGTCACGTTCGCTACGGAAGAGCTCGCCACCGCGGCCGTGGCGGCCCTCGACGGGCGCAAGGTCGCCAGGACCAGCGGCGGCAGCAGTAGCAGTCACAATAGCAGCAGTAAGAGGTTGTCGGCGCGGCTGGTGGTGGAGGGCGTCTCACCCGAGGGATCGGAAGACGGTGCTAGTGCTGGTGCTACTCGTCCTAACCGGCGGCTAGCTGGCACCGCTGGTGGTGATGGGGGGCGTGACGCAGGGCGAGGGGGCTCCGGTTTCAAGAAGGGGGTTGGTGGTGGCAATGCGGCCAAGTCGTCGTCGTTATCGCAAGAGCAGCGTCCGTTATTGATGTCTGTGACCGGGGTCTCAAAGCTGGCCGAGACGTCGCTGCCACATCCAGGACGGGATACAGCTGCGTCTGTGTTCCTGTCTGTGGAGACTGACGGCCAGAAGAAGAAGAGAGAGGAGCGCCCGATCATTGTGGATGGCAGCGGAGGGCGGTGGAAGAAGGACTTGATGCTGGTTGTGGTCGATGGGAGCGCTGGCTTGGGTAAACCGGGCAGTGGCGGGCACCGAAGCTCGAGGCATTGAAACCTACCTTGTTCGTTCCTAGCCTTCCTATGGGGACTGGGATTTCATGCATGGCATAGAGTGGAAAAACAGGAGTTTAGAGACGTGGAGTGGCTTTAATCGGCAGAGAGAAGGGGTGAAGGTGAGCGTTGGACGTTAAATAGCAGCGAGAAACCTTCGTCGCAGGTTTCGTTGGACAGTGGGTGCCATCGAGAGGAGGGCGGGAGAAGATTACCCCAAAGCTGGAATCTTGCGGTGTGTAGCTTCTCCCGGGCGCTGTCACTTGCTCGCACCTGCGTTGTTGTTTCCTGGCAATGACAAGAGTGCCTTTTCCCACATTTTCGGTCAAGCCTTTCAACTAACGCTTATCAAGAGCTATTTTTGCGCCCATCCATCCCATCATTCCTTTACACGGGACAGCCCATCGATGGCAGGCTTTTTATCGCCGAAGCCAACCCTGCTTGTCTTCCCTTTCGCCTCCACCTCCTCCTCCGTCTCCTCCTCCCCCATGATACCACCATCTGGGTTAGCCTTTCGTAGTCCAAAAGAACAGCTCTAGGGCAATGGAGGACAAAAGTCTCGATGCGGTGTCCGATTCGCACCTCATCCAAATCCCATAGCTGAGCGGTGGGGCGTGTGGCTCAGTTGGTAGAGCGTTCGCTTAGCATACGATATCCACCTGTATGCGAAAGGTCCTGGGTTCGATTCCCAGCTCGTCCAATGTATATACTCAGAGATGAGGATGATTGAGGTTTTTATTTTGTTTTTCGAAGCCAATATCGTCTTCCTTTTTCCGCGATGTCGATCGAGCCTTGGATGCAGAGTGTGCATGCAGGTCGAGTCGAGACACAAGATAATCTTGTGCTAGGCGAGGCATAATCTTCGTTTACTTTGCGAAAGGGGACAGGGAAACCGAACACACACACACACACACACACACACACACACACACACACACACACAAAAAAAAAAAAAAAGAACACATTAGGAACTTGAAATCGTTATCTCGCGATACCCAATGATATGTATACACCCAAATGACAGAGCCTTCTCAATGGCATTGACATGTCACAAGACATCTCTCAGTCCGTCCACGTTGACCCCTTGTTTCCCAAGCCTGGCCACGAGACGCGTATTTTGCCGCTGCAGCTCGCCAACGCGGTCGCGCAACATCTCCACCTCGCCGCGCGCGACATCGCGCTCGGCCTGGGTGTGCTCCAGCTCTTTCCTGGTGGTGGTTAGCAGCAGCAGCAGTTGCTGGTCCCGGCCGCTAGTGCTGTCCACGTCCCCGTCTCCGTCTCCGTCCCCGTCCCCGCTCGCGTCCTTGCTCAGACCCCCAGCGCTACCCTTGGCGTCGCGGAGGCGGCGCTGCTCGCGCTCAACCGCCTTCCTGCGACGCTCCTCGGCCTTGCGCTCACCAGCGGCGCGCTTATCGGCCAGCCGCCGCAGCTCGCGCCGGTACTTGTCTTCAAGCCGCGCCGTCTCACGCTCGTGTTTGTCGCGCAGTTTTGCTAACGCCTGATCGTCCTTTTCTTTTTCCTTGCTTTTGGTCTTGTCCTTGCTCTTGGCGTCTGTGGTAGCCTCGCTTTCGGCACGGTGGTGGCGGGCCTCGGCGCGCTCGAGCTTCTCCTGGGCCTTGCGTACGCGGTTCCGCAGCTTGCTGAGCTCTTTGTCTTGGCGGGACTGGTCTGTCGGGGAGCGGCCTATTGAGGAAGGAGTAAGCTGGCACGAAAGGGTTTGCGAGGTAGCAGTTTCGGAGCCGGGTTCTGCTGAATCGGGGGAGGAGCGGACGGAGACGTCGTCTTTTCCAGGTAGGGAAGCGCCACGGGCGGACGCAGCACCTCCTTCGTCCGCTGATGTGAAGCTTGCGTTCGAAACGTCGCGCTTGTCGTCGTCGTCATCATCATCGGTATCACCACCACTTTCGTCTCCGTCCGTTTCGATCGAAGCGGGAGCAAAGGCGGCGACCCCGTTGGCAACGGCAGAGGAGGCTGTGCCCAGGACGCTGCTGAGCATGCCGAAGATCCCCCTGCTGCTGTTATTACTACTACCTGGCGTTCCCTCGTGGTGTTGTGGCATCCCTCCATTTGGAAAGTGATCCTGGGCTGAAGCGTTTGCCGGGAGTTGCCCTGGTTTTTCTCGTCCAACTGGCGACTCCTCTGTTGGTTGTGCGTCTCGCAGACGACTAGCGGCGGGCTGCTCCGACCCCGTAAGTTCCTCCCGGGTTTGCGAAGATAGCCAATCGAGAAACCGGCCGGCGTCGTTGATAATGCCTCCCGGCGTGCCCTTCTCAACCATGAACCGAGGCACGCTACCGCCGGGGTCACTGCGCGTGACCATAAGCCACTCGATCGCCATCTCCTGCGCGTCGCCGTCGTCGCCCACAGTTTGCTTCGCAGCACGCAGCATGGCTTCTTTGCTCATGGGCTCCTCGCCCTTAGGCTCGTCCCGGTTCAGGTCGATCGACGACCTTGCCCGGCGTAGGGGCCTTTTAATGGGCACCTCGCGGATCACCTCGACCGACTCGTACGTTCCGCGGACGAATTCCCGCCTCGGCGGGCAGTCGGGGTGTTCGCACGGCCGCGAGACAAGCATGAACTGCCTCGGTCGTTTCGGTTTACCACCCTGCTTCTCCTCTCCCTCTCCCTTCTTTTCCCTCTCTTTTGGCATCATAATCAGCGTGACGAAATCCCTGGGCGTCGTCGGACCCGGAAACCTTGCCGAGACGTGATACACTTGCTACTGTCAGTTACCGAGGGACCCTACGTTTACTCACAGTCTGGGGCTGCTGGCGTTGGGAAATATGTAACAACTCACCATCCATCGTACCTCCCTCGACCTCGGCCCCGTCCACCCTCCTCTCGGCCCCAATGCCACGGATGTTGCCCGTTCCGGGCTCCTTCCCCGGCGTCGCCTCAACCCGCTCCAGCGTAGCCGTCATCTCCCTCCTGAAGGCGGCTTCCCTGTTTCAGTTTCGTCAGTTACATTAGAAAGGAACAAGAAGAGAAAAATAGAAAGAGAGAGGAAAGGGAAGTACCATTTATCAAACCCGCCGGCGCGATGCAGACTTCTCCTCGCAAACCAGGAACCCCCACCGTCCTTGGCGCTCATCTTGTACACTGTGATCTGGTGCGGGTTGTTGTTGTTGTCGTCCTCCTTGTTTTTCTTCCTATTGCTCTTGCTCTGCTGCTGCGCCGCCAGCTTGAGATCCTTCCACTCCCTCCTTAGCTTGTCGACCGTCTCCCTCTCCTTTTCTTTCTCCTCTTCTCTTGCACCTTTCGATGAGCCGATAGTGGCATTCTCATCAAGAGGGAATGGAGAAGCGGCGGCGATACCAGAGTCAGTATGCGAGCGTGCTCTACCCGGCGAAGCTGCTGCTGCTTCCCCCGCTGTTGGGTGTATTGGCTGGGTCGGGGTGGGGATGGAGTCGATGAGGAGCTGGGCGTCGGCGAAGGTATTGGTGAAGAGTTTGGTTAAAGTAGAAGAGGAGGAGTCATCGGCTGAGTTAGAGAGGTGAGGGGAGATGTCGGTCGGCCAGGAGAGGGTCCCGAGAGACTTGAAAGGGCGGTGGTGGGACATGTTCCTCCTTCTTTTGTTCTCAATTCTGAATACTGTTGCCTGTTTCTTCGATAACCCTCTGTTGTTTTGTTCAGTGCCTGTCACGATGACGGTGTAAATAAGCGAAAACGGGTGAATCAGGGGACGATATTTGTTGATTGTGATAGTTTCGAAAGTCGTCTAAAACACAGGTGTAAGTAAGGCACCTAAGGAATATCCGGGCCCTCGAATTGCTGCCTTAGTACTTACACAATACAGGTGTGTACATTGATGTATTTCCGCTTTCAGCGTAGTTCGATGCACTCGCTTACAAGTGCTCCTGAGTTCGAGTTCGAGTTCGATCGAGTGTCTTGCACATCTGGTCCTGTTTCAGCATAAGGCCATCAAAAATGCTTCAAGATTCGTAAAATCAATTCAGCTCAACTGCAACTTATAACGCACTTCAACCCCTTGGCCTTGATCATGGCGCGCATAAACGTATCCTGCTTGAATCCGAGCTCCATGAGGCCGTCCTTTGTTGCTTGACGTCATTGGGGCTCGGCGCTGTTACCCCAAAACGTCACCGGGGCTGAGTCCCTCCCACAGAAACGAACCCCTGGATTCGCGGGGCACGCGGGGTTGGACGCTTAACTATCATCCCGAGTCAGCGAGTAACTGGCTCGATGCTTAGTAGGTCGTAGACGAGCAGGACAACTCAGTTCAAAGCCAAGTATGCTCAGGCTCTGTCTGCAAGTTTGTTGTCGAAACGGCACAGCGCACTGCGGATCTGGTTAATAAATTCATCGATTTGTTCTCGAGGCTGATCGCAACTCCCATATTACAAATACACTATAACCTCTTGTGCCTCTCAGCCGCGTATACATGTACAATCCAACCGCCAGCTCCATCCGTATTTCGCCCAACCTTCCTTCCGTTTTCCCTGTCCCAACGCCTCGCCGTTCAGGTCCAATCCTTCGGCGCCGAATAGCAACGCTGAACCGGTATCCTGTTGCCGCCCTAGCCAGGGCATCCGATTTAAATCAAAACAGCGCGAGAGAGAGAGTCGAAGCCATCCGACTCTATTGCATCGTCTTGAGAAAGCCGTCCAGGTCGAAGCTTTCCTCATACTGCGTGTTATCCCAAAGCTCGCCCAGACCCTCGAGCCATGCCGCCTTCTTGCCCGGCTGCCGGACGTCGCCCGTCTCAATGTCCACCATGTCCTCCTCCCGGCCCTCAATATTATCCTTCCTGCCCCCTTCCGATATGAGGCTTGGGCCCGCATCGCCTAAATTAAACAGGTCCAGAATCTGGTCCGTGTCCATCGTCGCCAAGCCTGCGTTCTGCTGGTTCACCACTGTGCTCGCCACGTCGATCTTAAACCGCTGCAGGCCCAGAATCTTCTCCTCGAGCGTGCCGCGCGTGATGAGCCGGTACACGTTGACCACCTTCTTCTGCCCGATGCGATGCGCCCGGTCCATGGCCTGCAGGTCCTTCTGCGGGTTCCAGTCGTGCTCCACGAAGATGACCGTGTCAGCCCCCGTAAGATTTAGTCCCAGCCCGCCCACGCTCGTCGTCAGCAGGAGCACGTCGTACGACGGGTCGCTGTTGAATTTGTTGACGATGTCTTGGCGCCGGTTAGCCTCAACCGAACCGTCCAGGCGCAAGTATGATACTGCAGGAAGCATGCTCTTCAGCACCGTATTCTGGACCATGTCGAGCATCTCCTTCATCTGGCAAAAGATGAGCGCCCGGTGCGGCTTGATCGGCGTGTACAACGGGTCCGACGACTCGCCCCCTTCGGTGCCGATGCCGCAGTCCACCAAAAGATCCCGGAGAGCTGTCAGTTTGGGCGCGTGCGCCGGGTCCTCGAGGCTCGTGTTCTGCTTGGCCAGGAATTTTTGTGTCTCGTCGTAGGCCCTGTGGCCCGGTTTCATGACAAGGGCAGGCGAATTGCAGAGCTTGCGCATGTACTGCAGCGCCTGGAAGATGTGCTGCTTGGCTTCCTTGTCCTCCTTGCCAGCCTGCTCCGAGAGCTTGCGGCCTTCCCTCTTGGTGAAATCCTCAAACAGCTTGATTTGAAGGTCGCTGAGGTCACAGTAGTAATTTTGGAGGATCTTCGGCGGCAGGTCGTTGAGCACCTCCTCCTTGAGACGGCGCAGGAGGAAGGGCAACACCTGTTTATG